GGGGCAGGAGGCAAAGCCAACAGCTGTCCACTACAATGGGTCATTTCATTAAGATGCCCAAACATCGCTTAAGCCATTTAAAAGACTGAGATTGTAGGATAGAAAGTGAAGCCAGACATCCACACAGTCTTTACCTCAAATTCATTCCATATCCTAATTTATATATTGATAATAAAGAAAGAAGAAAAGCAGGTTATATAGCCCTAAAGAAAAATGAAATCATGACATTTGCAGAAAAAAAAAATGGACAGAGCTCAAAATCATTATGTTCGGTGAAACAATCCAGTCCCAGAAAGACAAACATCATTTTTTTTCTCATATGGAATATCTAATTTTCATATGTGTACATAGGTGTTTGAAGGTCACAAGACTAGAAAGGCGATCTGAGGAAATCTCAGAGATCTTAAGAAGGGTGAGAAATAGGGCAATAGAATTGTTACACAGGAAACAAAAGAAATCAATGTAATCGGAAGAGAACAGGTGTTGGAGAGCAAGTGAGAATGAAGAATTACCACCCGTGTGTATGAGATGCCAAGACTGAACCTGTGTCTTTGTACGCCAACCTAAAGTGAACAAATAAATCAGTGGGAACACAATACCATCATTTTTAATAGATGCTAAAAAATTTAATAAAATTTAGAGAACAAATATTTAAGTCACTAATGCTCAGCAGTTAAAAGCACTGGCTGCCCTTCCCAAAGATCCAGGTTCTATTCCCAGCACCTTCATGGTGACTTGCAACTGCCTGTAACTCCAGTTGCAGGGGACAGACATCTTCTTCTGACCTCAACAGGCAACAGGCAAGCATGTGGTGCACATATATACATACAGGCAAAACATTCATACCAATAAAATAAATATTTTAAAGTATTTGTAAATAAAGCTGGGCGGTCGTGGCACACACCTTTAATCCCAGCACTCAGGAGGCAGAGCCAGGTGGATCTCTGTGAGTTCAAGGCCAGCCTAGGCTACCAAGTGAGTTCCAGGAGAGGCACAAAGCTACACAGAGAAACCCTGTCTCGAAAAACCAAAAAAAAAAAAAAAAAGTATTTGTAAATAAATCACTAATAAGCCAGGCAGTGGTGGCACACACCTTTAATCCCAGTACTTAGGAGGCAGAGGCAGGTGGATCTCTGAGTTCAAGGCCAGCCTGGTCTACAGAGTGAATTCCAGGACAGCCAGGGCTACACAGAGAAGCCCTGTCTTGAAAAAAACTAATAAATAAATAAATCACTAATAAACATGGGATGGATGAGGATTTAAAGTGGCCATTATAATAGAATTAACCCTAGCTAAGAATCATCAATAGACACTGAGTGAAAAGTTTGAGGACTGACTAGATGTTTTTAAAGTCTCAGAATAACTCTCCAAACATAATCATCAATTATGAAGGACACAGAGGTGTCTTAACAGTACCAGTCAGCCATAAGTACTCAATATAAGATCGCCGGTTGCTTTAGCTCAGGCTGCTACAACAACATACTACCGCCCGGGTAGCTGATGGAGAGCAGAAACGTATTTAATTCTAGAATTTGAAAGCATGAGACCAGGGTAGAGCATGGCGGGGATCTGCAGGCTTCTTCCTGTGATGTCCTGAAGCAGACAAAGGGTGAAAGAACTCTAACCTCTGAAGTCTCCTCTACAAGGACATGAGTCGGAAGGGCTCCATCCTCGTGACCTAATCACCTCTCATGACCCCACCCTTCTAACGCCACACATGGTTGTCTTAGTTACGGTTTCAGCTGCTGTGGAGAGACATTATGAACACAGCAACTCTTATAAGGAAACATTTAACTGGGGCTGAAAGTTCCAAGGTTCAGTCCATTGTCATGGCAGGAAACATGGCAGTTGCAGGCAGGCATGGTGCTGGAGAGGAGCTGAGAGTTCCACATCTGGATGAGCAGGCAGCAGGAAGAGAGAGAGACACTGGGCCTGGCTTGAGCTTCTGAAACCTCAAAGCCCATCCCCAGTAACACACTTCCTCCAACAAGGCCACACCTACTCCAAGGAGGCCACACCCCCTAATAGTGCCGTGCCCTATGAGCTTATGGGGCCGTTTTCATTCAAACCACCATAGATGGTTAGAATGCCTATATGAATGGGGAGGGAGGGGAGCATTCAATCCGTAACCCTAACAGTAAATAGGACAAATGAACGGCTCATGCTGACACAAAGCTCTGAGGGAAACAGTGTAGTTCCTTGACTCTCCTGAAGAGAAGCTGAATTATATTCCAGTCACGAGGAATCATCAGGCATGTTCAAACTGAGGGAAGGATGAAGGAAGGGAGAGAAGGAGGAAAAAAAGAAAAGAAAAAGCAAATGCTGGCCTCACAGAAGCTGAAGCAGGAAACCCCAAGTTCAAAGCCAACTTGGCCTCTCTATTCCTTAACAAAGTCAATGTTAAGAAATACAAAGTAAAGCTAGGGACTGTTTCAGATAACAAGCCAAACCGTGACAGGCAAACACAAACATGATCCAGAATGTTCCTTTGTAAAGGATGTGACAGGGAAATGTATAAACCATTAACAGCCTTCTATGTGCAGATAATATCATATTGACATGGACTTCCTGATTCTGATCGTGGGGGTGGGGCTGAGAGATGACTCAGCGGTTTGCTCTTGCAGAGGATCCCAGCTCTGTTCCTGGCACTCACAACCATCTGTAGCCCTGCCTCCATGGGATCTGACACCTTCTCTGAACTCATGTTGTACACATACTCACACACAAACACATACATAGGTAATTTTTAAAATCTGAAAGAAATACCCTGAAGTATTTAAGGGTAAAGAAGAATCCTGTGTATAATAGCTCAGGAACACACACACACACACACACACACACACACACACACACACACACACACGTTTTCTATTTAGAAAGGGGGGGCAATTTGTAGTAAAATGTAATATTTGGTAAGTCTGGGTTAAAAATAGTTGGGAAATCTACTATCCTTGCAAATGTCTGTAAGTATGAAATTAAGAAAGTTAAAGTTACAAAGAAATTGGTATAAAATTTTTAAATCTCTTTTAATGTAATAAAGAAGAGAGGAATAAATTGGTCAAAGGATTTTGGTTTGAGCAAAACAAGAGAGAGTAATGGAATATATGTGTCATGAAAGCAGATGGCGGGTGGCGGGGGTGGGGGTGGGGAGTGGAGGAAGCTATGTCAGGGGGAGGGAAGGATGGGAGAAGCAGTACAGGGCAAATGAGAAGAAACCGTGATGACAGAATCAGAAAAAAAGCATCACAACATCACAATGAAACCCAGTGCCAACCAAAAATAACTAAGAAAAAGGCTTTGATCGGGTTTTAGTTTAGAAACATCAGCATGCATAAATACACGCGGAGAACGGGCTGAGGAGCGCACTTAGGTCAGGAGACGAAGGCTGACAGAATAGAGAAAGGAGGCCAGCAGGCCAGGGATCTAGCGCCCTTGGTAGAACGTTTCATTAGCGTGTTCGAGACTCTGGGTTCTATAGCAGCAAATAAACCTGGTGTGGTGGCAGATGCCTGTAATCCCCGAATTCAAGGTCATCCTTGTCTGTCCAGGGAGTTCTGGGTTTCTTTGTTTTGTTTTGTTTTGTTGTTGTTTTAAGATCCTGTCTCAATAAATAAATAAGCAAAAGAGAAAAAGGGGAAAGCCGTGATTATTGGGGGCAGGTATGTTCAATGCAGGATATGTAGAACTACCTATCAAAGAATGCAAAGCACACAGCCAATCACCATGGGACAGGAGACTCCCTGGTGAGGGACTGGGGATGGACAGGCCCGAGAGGGTGCCCGGGAGTGCACAGACAAGAAAGACACCTTTGGGCTGGGCTTCTCACTTCATAATTTCATAATTTCACTTCATAATTTCATGTGTCTGGAGCTCAGACACATGAAATTATTTTCTGTGTACAAAGAAGCTTGTTAAAGAGAACCATTCTCTGACAGATCCAGGACCCTTTTCACTGGATAGGGTCTCTGCTGACATTTCCAGTGGTTGCTCACGAGGAGGTGCTGGCCCAAAAAGCAACAGGAAATTTGGGAGTCTTTTTAGTAGGTTTAAGACAAGGGGACGCTGTTATTTCGTGAATGAGACCAAAGATGTTAAACTTGCAGAAAGAAGAGCTGTGATCCAAGTCCAGCCCACCCTTGCCGATGGGGTTGAGTGGCAGCCGGGCTCCAAAACCAGTGTTCTACACCAGACGACAACATTCGGTCATTTCAGTGCTGTTGGCACCTCTGAGGTCAGCAGAGGTCACCAACACGTTGACACAGGCAGAGGGACTTCTAAGCGGGCCATTTTGTCGTTCCCCACGGCTGAGCAGCCTCATGGGTGTCCTAAGCCATGATCTATAACATCTTGAATAATAACCAGGTTCTTTGTGGGAAACCTGGGTTACAAACCGTTTTCACTTACACCCTTTCATTCAGTCTCCGCCTTTGCCCCTTGCAGCGGTTACTCCAGCTTTACAGATGAGCTGTCCCAGACTTCCTGGCCAGTCGGCGATGTGTAGAGCTATGCCAGATCTTTGTCTTCTAAAGCCAAACACCAACTTCTTCTTAGACCGTCTACTGCCCCTGGGGTACACGCCTGTCTTGGTCCTACTCTGTCTGTCTAGCCTCCTCTCCTCCTTGTCCTCCTTCCTCCGGCAATTAATTCATCTCCCTTAGATGAAAACTAAGGAGTAAATAGTGGGGCCTCCAAGTGGCCCATACAACAAAGATTTACAAGGGTGTATGTAGGCTTTTGGTTGGGTGTTGTTGGTAATTATAAAACCAAACTACCGATCAACTTTGAAAATGTTAAAGTTGTGGTGCGTCCTGCAAAAATGTGCCAAGACTTAAATTTTTGTATAATCAAGCACATTTGTTTTTGTTCTCATAGTATTCAAAATTGCTTTCCTCTTTAATGAATGGAAAACTTACATATGGAGGGGGAGGGGGTCTGGAGAAGCTGTGGGGGTGATTGTGAGGCAAAGATGATTCCTGATTCAAACCTGAAAAGATCCCTATTGTCCTTTTCAGATGGGCGAGCAGAGAAGTCAGTGCCTAGGGAGACAGCGTGGTTGGAAGCGTCCAGGCTGAGTCAAATCAGGAGAGGAAAATAAAGGAAGGAGACTAGAAATTGGAACGTGCTTGTGAAGACGAAAGCAGATTCTTCCCTTCCAAGAAAGAGACTAGAGCCCCAGCAGGGCCCGGGAGACAAACCCAGCTTCTGCCTGGAGAGGAAGTTAGGCAAATGTCAGCGTTTCTCAAATAGCCTTGCCCAGAAAAATGTGTCAACAAACACCCAGCCAAACTTCACGGATACAACGCAAGGCAACTCGGCCGAGAAACCGGGGATGCATCTCCTGAGGGAGACGCGCTTGAATTGAGTTAAAAATACATTAAATTCACAGTCACTCAAGAGCTAAAGACCCAGAAAATACCTCTGGACTTCAGCTTTGAAATCCTTCGATTTCCTTTAAGGTAGGTGTCCTGGGTTGTTTTTCAAGCATTATCTGGGTTTGCCTGGGGCAGTGGAGGAATGACCCTGAGATGGGAAGCCTGATTTCACCTTTGAGTGGAGTGGTGTTCCCGACTGCAATTCCAGAGGGAATTCTGGGAATGGAAACCAGGTCCAGAATGCATCTCTGCAGCCTGGCAGGCAGCAGCAGTTAACAGTTTCAGGTGAAAATCGAGCTTCTTTTTACAGGAGCCTACAAGATGCCATGGAACCCTTCAGAAATCCTAACTTCTGTCTCCAACCAAAGTAGAAAGATTAAAGTCTTTTTAAAATAAGTTTGAAAGTTGTTTGAAAATAACTCCTTCTCACACTTGTGAAACACTGAGATCCAGATGTGCCAAAAGGAAGGGAATAAGTATTCTTGATTCCCTACTATGAAAAATGAGCATTTTGTTGTATTTATTGCATTTTAAAGTGTTTTAATTTTAGGGTTAAAACCAATCTTAGATATTTGTTTGTTTGAGACAGTTTTATTCTAGGGCCCCTGGCTAGCTTTAAACTCACAGTTCTCTGCCTCAGCCTCCCAGGCACTCAGATTACATGGGTGCCTGGCTTAATTTTGGGTTTTCGAATGGTTCAAAATTAAAATGCTGTAAAAATAAAAAACAACTTTTGAGAAGTGAACATTTTTAGTTGTAACTTCCTAATATTCCCTGATACAACTACAAGAACAGACACAAAATTTTTTTCTTTAAAAAAATTATTTTAGCCAGGTTTGGTGGTAGATGCTTTTATTTCCAGTACTTGGAAGGCAGAGGTAGGCAGACCTCTATGAGTTCGAGGCTAGCCTGGTCTGCAGAGTGATTTCCAAGACAGCCAGGGCTACATAGTGAGGCCCTATCTCAACTATTATAGTAATAATAAATAATAATAATAATAATAATAATAATAATAATAATATTTACTTCTATTAATTTTATTTGTTTGTCTGTTTTGAGACATGGTCTCATTGTATAGTCCTGGAACTCACTATATTGACAAGCCTGGTCTGGAACTCACAGATCCACCTGCCTCTGCCTCTGCCTCCTGAATGCTGGGATTAAAGGCGTGTGCCACCACATTCAGATTTTATTAGTTTTAATTATATGTATGTTTATGTTCCTACATACAGGTATGGGCACGAGAGTCAGGTGCTATGAGAGGCTGTAGCGTCAGATCTCCTGGAGCTCAAGTTACACATGGTTGTGAGCCACCCAACGTGAGTGCTGAGAACAGAGCTGGAGTTCTCTGAAAGAGCAGCAGGTTCCCTCCACCACTGAGCCATCTCCAGCCAAAAATTATTTTCTTTTAAAAAAAAAATTATTTGTGTGTGTGTGTGTGTGTGTGTGTGTGTGTGTGTTTGCGCGCGCGCGCGCGCACACACGCGCGTGCCATAGTGGTTAGGGACAGCTCTCAGAAGTCAATGCTATGCTTCTGCCTTGTTTTGAGGTAGAGTCCCTGGTTGTCTCTCCACTTGGCTGTACACTCCAGACTCGCTGGCCCATGAGCTTCTAACAAACACAGATTCTTATTTCACACTCCATCGCAAAGAATGGCATTTGGCAATGCATCCTACCGCATTCATCTTTCAGGTGTTTATGCAGACAATGACTTTTTACTGACGTTAGACCAGACTTCTGTAACAAATGTTTTTTAACTTAAGGATTTGTGTGGACATTTATGCTATCATTTTCAAAGGCTATGATGACAGGAAAAAGCCCTGAAATATTACTATGGCTCTCTGCCTCCCTCAGGATAATCTCTGGGATAGGAAAGAAAAATACTGTGGTCCTTGAAGTGCCAAGGCCTTGGATGACTTCAGGCTCAGCCAGGTACCAGCCATGTGAACTTGGGTGCTGAGCCACAAATCCCAATACTTAGATCCTTCTCCCTCACTCTTATGTTCCGGGGCTGTCATGAGAATGAAAGAGATGATTAGGGAACACTCACTTGATGTGAGGCAGTAAAGTACTAGAATATCCATATAACTGTGTCATACGCTCATGGCTGTACACACTCACACACACACACACACACACACACACACACACACACACACAGGTGGGGGAGGGTGCTTGTGTTCTGAAAGGAAGCTCTATTTGTTTACTTGTTTTTCCAGTAAACATCTTTACACAAAATTTTTGTTTTCTAAGAACATTTCTATTGTTGTACATTTCATATAGATGGAGGAATTAGGAAAAGTAAATAACCAAAAAGGATAAAATTGAACTAATCCATAACTTATTTGCAAAAACCCCTCCAGATATTTCATAAGTACATATGTGTATATGTGCAATTTATGAATGGTTCCTATTTTACATAATTATTCTTGTAATTTCCTCATGTCATACACAATATAAGTAATCTTTCTAAGTTCATAACAATAATCTTTATCATTATTAATAGTACATAGAATTTGGTTTTGGTAGCAAACATACAATGCTTTTTCTAGGCATTTTACTCCTGTAGGATACTTAAGTTCTCTGAAGATTTTTTTTGCTATCATATGCAATCTCATGAGGCCATTTCCATGTCCAAATATTCCTATGACTCAGAGCTTGAGAGATGGCTTAGTGGGTAAGAGCTCTTCTGAAGAACCTGAGTTCTTGTCCATGTCCATGTCAGGTGGCTCGCAACGGCCTCTATTGCTAGCTCCAGGGTACCTGACACCCTCTTCTGGCATTCAACAGCACCTGCACACAGACAGTGTGCACACAGATGGCATACACACACAGAGACACACTCACAAATACATAAATGAAATTACATCCTTAAGAATTCCTATAACTTAAAGAAATCAGTTTAGTGCTGGGCGGTGGTGGCGCACGCCTTTAATCCCAGCACTCGGGAGACAGAGGCAGGCAGATCTCTTTGAGTTCGAGGTCAGCCTGGTCTACAGAGCGAGATCCAGGAAAGGCGCAAAACTACACAGAGAAACCCTGTCTCAAAAAAAAAAAAAAAAAAAAAATCAGTTTGGAATAGGGTATATGCTTTCTTTCATTCTCTCAACAAATACTCTTAAGCTCCTGCTGAAGGGGCTCTGGCCAGCTCGAGCATGGCGTACACGGCTCTGGCAGGCTTTGCCCTTCTCTCCCATTCCCTCTGCCTTGCTAAAAACCATTAGATCACACTCTGGCCATCAAGGTCTGTTCCCTTATTTGGCCACTTCCTCCTTCTGAGGCTGACCACCAAGGCCCAGCCATCAAAGTATTCAAGTCCAGCAATCAAAAGTCCCTTCTGATTCACCTAACTAATTAACATGCCCAATCAAAACATACCACCGCATCCTAGCCCATTCTAACACAGACCTCCCCTTTTTCTCTTCTTAAAAATTACACCTGCGGGCTGGAGAGATGGCTCAGAGGTTAAGAGCACCAACTGCTCTTCCAGAGGTCCTGAGTTCAATTCCCAGCAACCACATGGTGGCTCACAACCACCTGTAATGAGATCTGGTGCCCTCTTCTGGCCTTCAGGGACACATGCAGACAGAACACTGTATACATAATAAATAAATCAATCTTTAAAAAAGAAAGAAAAAAAATTACACCTGCAAGGTCATTTGCTGCTGTTTTTCTGCCTAAGTCAGAAAGCAGTCACTTTAACTTTTTCTTCCCTACTTAACAAAGGATATCTCTGTGAAAATAGGCATTTAGATGTGGTTTGTGCCCAATCCAGGTTCCAGGAGGGAACCTTCACTGCGTGGGGGTCTCCTTCACTTACCATTTGCTATGAACTGCACAGAGGTTAGAGCTGCAGACAGGAATCTGACACAGGAAGTATTAATCTAGGAAAGGACATTGAAATAAGCCTGGCTATGCCCTGAGCTCACTCACCTCCCTGAGATTTTGCATGTGCCTGGCAGGACAGATCTTACAGCCCTAAGCCTTCCTCTGGGGGACCCACTCCACTCTAGCCCATAATGTTTCGGGATGTTTGTTTACACTGTAAAGATGTGTCTCTGCCTAAGGCACCTTCTGATTGGTTTAATAAAGAGTTAAATGGCCAATAGCAAGGCAGGAGAGGATAGGCAGGACTTCCAGGCAGAGAGAGAACTCTGGGAAGAAAAAAGGAGGAGTCGCCAGCCAGACTCCAAAGAAGCGGGTTGGGCAGTATGGAGGTGAGGAAATGAGCCACGTGGAAGAATGTATGTAAAGTTCTGGTCCTTAAAGGCTATTATTACAAACTGTTTAAGGTAATTAAGAAATGTAGGTTAGTCACCTGAGTGCAATCAAAATATCCCACAACAAATGTAGATTGAAAAATATGGGTTAATGTAAGTTAGCTTTTATAATAATTAATAATAATAAATAAATAAATAATAAGTCTCCATGTCATTATTTGCAGACTGGCATCCCAATGAGAAAATGCTACTACACTATAACATGGACTCATCCGTCAGAATCTAGTGCAAACAGCCTCTGCTCTGTGGTGGCTTCCTGATGCCCAGAAGAGAATGAGATGCTCCTGGAGTGTGACCCAGAGTCCTGTCATGGTCCATTTGTAATTATCCACAGGCCATCCTACCTTATGCCCCTTCCCACTAAGGGCTTCTTGGAGTTAGAGGCATTGTTTTGCTTTATTTCCAGCTGTGCTCAGGAAGATGAATATGATGTAGACCGCTCTCACTGAGCATGCACTGACTGAATTGCATTAAGCAACATGTGCTTAATGAAACACTGAATAAAAAACTGAAGGGGCTGGGGAGATGACTCAGCCGTTAAGAGCACTGGCTGCTCTTGCAAAGGACCTGGCATTGGTTCCCAGCACCAACATGGTATCTTACAACTGACTATACCTCCAGTTCCAGGGGATCTGATACACTCTTTTGGACCCTGAAGATACCAGGCACACACACACGGTTTTTTGTAGGTAGACATGCAGGCAAACACTCATACACATAATTATTATTATTTGGTTGTTTTGACAGGGTTTCTTTGTGTAGCCCTGGCTGTCCTGGAACTCTCTATAGACCAGGCTGGCCTTAAACTCAGAGATCCACCTGCCCCTGCCTCCCCAGTGCTGGGATATGTGACAGCAGGCACCCTTATCCATCTTTTTGTTTTGTTTTTCTGTGGTTCTTCCTTTGTCTCACTCCACCAAGACAACTGAAGACCTAGACTTCTTATTTCAGCTCACGTAGGCAGCCAGAGGGCACTGGGAACACCAAGAGAGAAGCCTAACACTTTTACAGGTGGGCAGACTCTTTTAAAGAAAATATTCCAAGTCATGAATACCATGTTGAATATAAAATAGTATTTATTTCAACCAAGAAAGTGAATGGTAAAAACTTACGAAGTTTTTAAGCTGGCCAATACTATAGACCCCAGCAGCCTAACATACTTCTCCAATCATTTTTTTTTTAATCTTCAATTATTCAAAGAAAAAAAATACATTAATCTAAACTTAAGAAGTATATAAGAAATTCAAATGTCTTTCTCAACGGTTATATCTGTAGCAGAAAATACATATGATGAATCTGTGGCATCTTCTGGTGCCAGAAAGCAAGGAAGCGGGGGGTGGGGGGGGTGGGGTGGTGGTGGTGGTAATCTTCCACGGAACTCAGGAGCTCCCCCAGCTCTCCCAGTGGCCAAGGCTGGAAACAATTAAGGCAGCAAAATTAAGGAGCAGTGCACGAGAGGCCACAGGAAAAGCACCTGAGGACCACACTTCTCTAAACGACCCAGGAGAGGTGAGGGGGATGAGAGGAAGCAGGGGGAGGAGGAAAGGGGGAGCTAGGCATAACCCCACGTAGTGGCAATCCTGGCGCTGGGGAGGTTGAGGAAGGAAGATCTCAGGTTCAAGGCCAACCTAGACTAACAGGGTCAAACCTTGTCACAGAGATGGGGAGAGAAAGGGAAGGGGTGGGAAGGGAAAGAGAAGAGAGACGCTGTCACAACCAAGAAGAGCCTATGGATACATGACAACTAAATATAATGTAGGCTTCTGACAGAGGTCATGAGGGAGCATGCTAAGAGTTCAAACTTTAGTGTGTCCATATTGGTTCATCTACTCTGACGTGTTTGTTTGTTACCAACATGTCCTGTTTAGGAGAAAACAAGGGGCAGGATATGTGGAAACTCCCTGTTCTGTCTTCACAATTTGTCTGTAGATCTAAAATTTTCCAAAAATAAAGTCTGCTAGGAGAAATGGCTATCCGGCTAAGCTGAATTCATAATTGTATACATGTAGGTATTCTCTTTTTTGTTGGTGCCTTCAAGACAGACTCTCACTCTGAAGCCTGGGCTGTCTGGCACTATGTAGCCCAGGTTGGCCCTGAACTCAGAGCAATCCTATTACCTTAGCCTCCTAAGTTCAGAGACAGGGTTTCTTTGTGTAGCCCTAACTGTCTGAAACACACTCTGTAGACCAGGCTGACCTCAAACTCAAGAGATCCGCCTGCCTCTGCCTCCTGAGTGCTGGGATTAAAGGAATGCACCACTACCACCTGGCAGTATTGTTTTTTAAGGTTTATTCATGTCTGTCTATGAGTGTTTTGCTTGCATGTATGTCTGTGGACCATGTGCGTGCCTGGTGCTTACAGGCCAGAAGAGAGTGCTGGGCTCCCCACAGATGTCTGTGAGCAGCCACATGGGTTCTGGGAATCAAACCAAACCTTCCTCTGGAAGAAGAGTGAGTGCTCTTAACCAGAGCCATCTCTCCAGCCCCCTAAATTATTCTTGAATTACAAAACTCAATTTGTGGGCCTAGCATAAGGGCAAATGCCTTTAATCCCAGCACTCAGGAGGCAAAGGCAGGTAGATCTCTGTGAGTTCAAAGACAGGCTGGTCTACAAAGCAAGTTCCAGGCCATCCAGGGCTACACATCAAACCCCTTTCTCAAACAACAACAAAAACAACAACAACAACAACCCCAATTTAATTTGTTAATTAGTATGTGTTGGATTATTCTCCCCCTTCTTTGGACTATTTTAACGTATCAGAACCCTCCCTTACTCACTTGCGTGGAAGGCCGAATTGTGTCCAAGTCAGCAGCTTCTATACTGTGCTGGGCAGCATCCTGCCTCTAGAACAAGCAACATACCAAAAAGTGTTGCTTTGGCTCACAGTTTTGGAGGTTCTAATCCACAGTCAGGCAGCCCCAGTGTACTCAGGCCTCGAGGGGTGCCAGGTCACAACAACAGGAGGTACGGGGCATAACAATCTGCTTACCTCACCTCCAGGTGAGGCCAAAGAGAAAGAGGAAATAACAAGGCCACACAACCAACCCCTTCAATCGCATTCCCCGGTGGCTAAAGACCAGCCCGCCACCAGGCCCCGCCTCTCAAAGACACCAGCACTTCTCAGTAACACCACCCAGGACCATGTGTTGAACAGATGGATCTATGGGAGACATTTGATGCAGAGTGTAGCGCATATCTTACTTGGAAGCAATTAAAAAATATATAATAATGGATAAATGTGAGCGTTTCCAATAGAACTAAGTTTGAACTCGAGTCCAAAAACTGATACCATCTCTCCAACCTTCCATGGCTTCCAAAGGCCTCTCTAGCGCTCTGATGAGCAAGTCAGCTCACTCATCCAACAAACATCTGTGTGTGCTGCTGAGAGAGCATTGACAGGTCTCTGCCTTCTGTCTGAAGTGATCTGGAAGCCTGTGGTGGAAAGCAGTAGTTCTCAATCCCTTTGAATCACCAGGAAAGCTCTTTAAAAAAAAAAGAAAAAGAAAAAGAAAAGAAACAAACAAACAAAAAAATCAACTCCGGCCTCTTCTTGTCCAATTAAACAGAAGTGCTTGATGGACATGGTAGTGTGTGCCTGTGATCCCAGCACCAGGGAGGCTGGAGGAGGAAGATTGAGGTGAGTTCAAGGACAGCCTGGGGTACCCAGCTACAGTCCGTCTCAAAGCAATCAGAATCTTCCAGGGGTTCAAATCTCCCCCAAGAGATTCAAAAGTAAAGCATAGACAAGACTGAGACACCCAGCTCTAACATGGGTGGTCCAGGGTCTCTGCCATCATGGAACTGAAGAAAAGGGCCCAGGAAGCCCGGAAAAAGGAGCGGAGTTCCTAAACTGAAGCCGAGCTGGTGCTGGGAGGAGTGGGCGAGGGGAGGGTGACGCTGAGCAGTGGTGCGCGGCAACCCACGCACTTGCTCCTTTTAGAACAAATCAGCTCTTCTCAGACATATGTACTGAAGCAGCCGCCTCCTGGAAATTTCCAGACAGAGCTGGGGACTACTCCTAGCATAAAAGTAGTCAGCCTACATTCTGCTTCTCCTGGTGCAAAGAACCTCAAGGCTGTGAGGTCCTTAAGGGTCACCAATCACCTCTTTCTTCTCTCCTTTCTGCCTCCCTCTCTTCTCTGCCTCTTTTCTCTCTTCCTCTCCCCTCTCACCTGCTCCTTCCAACTCTCTCTCTCTCTCTCTCTCTCTCTCTCTCTCTCTCTCTCTCTCTCTCTCTCTCAGTGCCAGGAGCTGTGAGCATTTCAGAACAGGTTCTCTGGGAGTATTTGCATATATCATGCAGATATCTGACCTACCATTTTTACACCACAAATAAAACTCAGCATAAGGAAAAGCCGGGAAAATATGACTTAGGGGTAAAGAAAGGAAAGGCAGACAATGCAGAAGCCAAACACGAAACAATTCCCCTTCCACTCAGACCCCGTGGGAAGGCTTCGTCCTCTTCCCTTCACTGATAAGGAGCCCGCTCTTTGAGCGGAATGTCTTCTCAGGGCCCTTCAGCTCACATGAGACAGGACAAGGACTTACTCCACCTTCACAGTGATTTTGCTCCTGTTTCCAAACGAGAAACCGGGGTGGGGAGATGGCAGTAGCAGATCACCAATCAGATGTTCTGGGGTCTCGGTGGAGAAGGAGCCAGGCAGGGCTCTCTCCTCAGAGTCACAGCTGCCTGTGGGTCTGCAAGACACCATCTGCCCCCCACACAGCAGGGAGGGCTCCCGAGAACTCTCTGTACTATCTTTGCAGCTTTTCTATAAATGTGAAGTTATTCTAGAATGAAAAGTCTATTTTAAAATGGCACATAATGGTGGCACACACACATGTGATCCTAGTACTTAAGCGACTGAGGCAGGAGGATCACTTTGAGTTCCAGATCAGCATGGGCTACATAGTGAATTCCAGCCTGAACCATGTAGCCAGACTCCGTCTCAAAAACAAATAAACAAGTCAATACAAATGTATTGAGACAAATGCATTTGATTATCCCGATTCAACGGTTGTGAGAGGAAAGGAATTTGGTGGCTCTGTATATAAAACTTTTGACAAATTGTGGAACAATAAGGAAAACAATGACTCAGGTTAGGTGGTCCTGGCATCTCTGGGTAAACTGACAAAGGAAAACAATAAACTCTGTGATAACTTTAATCAACTTCTAGCATCTCAGAATACAGTGAAGGCCAACAGTAAACTCAGTGATAAAACTGACCACCTCCAGATGCACATAAACAGTCTAAACTTCAGACTTTACAGGTTTCTAAGTGCACCCTGGAAGAAAATCTTCTCTCCAGCAGCCACAGAGCTCAAGTTGCAGAAAAATAAAAAAGAAGCGCTCATTATAAGGCTGGCTGAATTACAACTAAAATTCAAGTCTGGAGAGTGGCGCTCTCGCCATCTTGTGCCCCGCCCCCTTCAGCCTAGCCCAATCCCCTTTTTCCCTTTCTACAATCTCTGTCCCTCCATTCCCCGCCCCCCTGCCCATCATGTCCCGAACTGCCATCGCCACAGACACGGTGCCATCTCTGTTCCCTCTCATTCTCCCTGCGGGACACACAGACGTGACTTCACGTGTCAGAGACGAATCATACTGCAGCTAGCTGGATGTCTACTGCCACGTCAAGTAGTGAAAGGAATACAGGGACGACTATAAGCTTTGCTGCAGAACTGCAGAGCATGGTGCTTTCTTCAGGTGATGCTAGGAGGCCTCTCCATGAAACAGCAGTTTTAGTCGAAGAAGTGGTTCACACACAACTAATTAACCTGTTACGGCACGTCTCTCAGCTGTGGGGAGCAAGGGTGATCTCTGCTGAAGATCTTCTGTTCTTGATGAGAAAAGGTAAGAAGAAACTGAGAAGACTTCTAAAATACATGGTTATCTGTGACTGCAAATCAAAGACCATCCAAGGCCTTGACGAGGATGACCTCCTGGAAGAAAAACTGAGTGGCGGCAGCATCAGTACAAACAAGAGACAGAAGATCACTCAGGATTCAATCGACTCTATTGACCAGATAGGAGAGCTTCTGGCAACGTTTGAAGACAATGAACTTGGTGATGTTAAACAGGAAAGAATGGAGAGAGCAGAAAGGCAGACTCGAACTATGGATTCAGCTCAATATGCAGAAGTCTGTAAAAGCCGACAGCTAAGTTTCTCCAAAAATGCTTCCAAATTTCAAGACTGGCTGGACCGCGGCAGCATGGCGATGAAGCCGGATGTTACGGCGATGGAAATTCTGGCATATGTAGCACATGAAACAGTAGCACAGTGAGTGGATCTGGCTCTTCTCGAGAGGCAGGATATGGTATCCAAGGCAGGGGACCCCTTGAGCCGTGCCATTTCGGCAACCTCCATTCAGTATCACAGCTCTGCTGAGGGGCCCTGCTTGAAGTCCCGCCCACACGCTCCTGAGAACACACCGCCTCCTACACCAACAGCGCCCTCTTCTGGATCACAGCATCCCGGAAGAGCCACATCCGGACCCCTGGGGAATGGGGGTGCAGGACAAGACTCGACTAAAAGCAGAGAAAGAGGAAAAAGAGCACCCGCGGCCTGTGGTGTTGAGGCTCACGGGGATGCCGTCCAGCCCTGGCACATCAGAGAAGCCATTCGGCGCTAGCCACAAGACTGGCCCTCTTTCCCCATTCACAAGTGCCTAACGAAGGATTGGGATGGCTTCCTGGCCTGCTGAGGGGACCGTGGCTGTGCCTGCTGCAACAAGAGAGGGACCGGTACACCGAGGCCATTCTTCCCTGTCTTGGGCTGAAAATAAAATATGAATACACCTTCAAAAACAGAAAAAATTCAAGTGTCAGCCTCGGAGAGTGTCAATGGTTAAAGTAAGGGCATTAATTGATAAAGAATGAGATTCTGTAACTTGGAATGGCAATGTGGGAAGACCCTTGTTGTTTTTGCACTTTTGGGGGGCCCGCCGCCCAGCTCCTAAATAAATCATGCATGGAGATTTATTCTTAATTATAAATCCCCAGCCTTAGCTTGGCTTGTTTCTTGCTAGCTTTTCTTATCTTAAATTATCCCATCTACCTTTTGCCACTGGGATTTTTCCTTTTTTTTTGTATATCACACTTTCATTCTTACACTGTGGCTGACTGTGTGGCTGGGTGGCTGGCCTCCTTAATCACTCTTGCTCTTTCTCCTTTTCTCCCAGATTTCTCCTTCTATTTATTCTCTCTGCCTGCCAGCCCTACCTATTCTTTCTCCTGTCTTGCTATTGGCCATTCAGCTCTTTATTAGACCATTGGGTGTTTTAGACAGGCAAAGTATCACAGCTTTACAGAGTTGAACAAATGCAACATAAAAGAATGCAGCACATCTTTACATCATTAAAACAAATGTCCCACAGCATAAACAAATGTAACACATCTTAAAATAATATTCTATTACAGACCCAATTGAAGCTGAAAACTTTGAACCTTCAGATTCTCAAGGGTTTATCTCATTGAGGAAGTAGGTCTCACCGCCCTCAGCAGAAGATGTACTCCCGGCCCACCCCCTAAAATATTGCCTTTTCCACCTTTAACAGAAGAAATTCATCCTTTATTGTCCGCTAAACCAGCAATGACTTTCCCTGAAGGAAATGCCAGACAAGACAATACTGATGTCCCTCATGGCTGACCAATAGTTGCCGCTAGACCTACAAGGCTAAGCAGGCCTCCAGAGGAGAGATAGAAAGTGTAGTCCATGAGGAGGTACACTACACTACTAAAGAGCTTAATGAGTTTGCTAATTCATTAAAGCAGAAGTCTGGGGAATATGTGTGGGAATAGATTTTAAGGGCATGGGATAATGGTAGGAAGAATATAAAACTGGATCAGGCTGAGTTTATTGATATGGGCCCACTGAGAGGAGATTCTAGGTTTAATATTGAAAGAAGGAACCAAACTGAAGCCATTTTGGATAGAATTTCCATTTTGAATAAGGGTCAAATAAAGTTTAAGTTCCCAAGACCTCCCCAGACCTCCCTGGCTAACTGACATCACTGACATCCTGGCTGGCCAGCTGAGACATGAACGGTGAACAAGCTGCCCCACCACGCTTGAGTGAACCAACCAATGAGAACAAGGTGAGTGTACCACAGAGCAATGTCCCTAGGAAAGTCCCCTATCCCTGAATCCTGAAGGGTGGAAAATGGAACTGTCACTTGGCACAGATGTTTGTGGTTTTTAAGCTTAAAAACTGGACCGTTCTGGCTCAGGTCGCAGTTCAGCTCCCGAGTTCAGATCAGTTCTGCGACCTTGATCCATCGGTAGTGGCCTGATTGCACTAAACTTTCCTCATCTGCACTGACTTGGTGTATGAGTTGTGCTGGCTCCAAGTGGACTCCATAGCGATATGGAAGCTTGCAAAGTTGAAGAAGAGGAGGAGGGGGAGGGAGAGGGGAGAGGAGGAGGAGGAGGAGGGGGAGGAGGGGGAGGAGGAAGGTGTCAAAAGCTTGTTTGAATGTTGACCGAAGCATTTGTCAAAAGATGGCCTACTGAAAAGGAGTTGGAGATGCCTGATATCCCTTGGCCTAGTGTTGATGACGGGATTTGAAGGCTCAGGGATGCTGCGATGCTAGGGTGGGTACAATGGGTGAAACCTAATCCTCCACAATGGGAAGGCCCAGAAGACATGCCCTTCACTCATCCTATAAGACACAAAATGGTGAGAGGGGCAGCAGCACATTCGAAGAGTTTTGTTGTCACCCTTTTCCTGTGCCAGACCTTAGGGTTGGAGACGCTGCTGCTCAGTTGAATGAATTAAATGCACTGGGCCCCAAAGCAGCAGGAGCCAGGGGGCAGCATGGACTCACCAAAGGCGAGATGATTGTAATTATCGTAATGGGCAGCATGGACACAGCAATGTCTATAATGACCTGATCTGTAATGGTCAGCATAGGCAGGGATTTTTATGGTGGCATGACTCATACGGTATTGTCTAATCAATCATGGTGTTTCCAGGCATGAAATAGATATAAAGCCTACTGCATTTTTGTTTTATCTTGTAAGAAAAATTTCAGACAAATGAAAGGCTATATTGGATTGTTAACAAGGGGAATCTCAGCCTGTGGATTAATTTCCAGACTTGAGCCAGTCTGCAGATCCAGAACCCCTTGAGTTAAGGGAATGCCAGGTTCCCCTGAGGAAGGACTCAGCTAAATGCCTAAGAGATTTCCTGTTAGCCTTTCTCCAGTCCTTTCCCAGGGAGACCTATGACCGTTACAAAGGTAACCGTACACTGGGGGAAAGGAAGCAATCAGACTTTCTGAAGCCTGTTGTATACTGGTTCAGAATTGACGCTACTTCTGGGAGACGCCAAGATTCACTGTGGCCCTCTGGCTAAAGTAAGGGGTTATAGAGGTCAGGTGATCACGTCCGATTCACAGTCGGTCCAGTGGGTTTCTGAACTCATCCTGTACTCCTTTCCCAGTCTGGGGATAGACACTTGTGACAGACATACTTAGAAGTTGGCAGAGGCTGGGAGGTGGTGGCGCACACCTTTAATCCCTGAACTCTGGGAGCAGAGGCAGGTGAGTCTCTGAGTTCAAGGCCAGCCTGGTCTACAGAGTGAGTTCCAGGACAGCTGAAGCTACACAGTGAAACCCTGTCTCAAATATATGTACATATATATATGTACATGAGTATATATGTATATGGTGGGGGGTAATCTCTTTTTTCCTAAGAGGTACAGACTTATTATATAAAAAGACAAATGGATCAAATCAATATCCATCCTGCTGAGCACAGTACTTCATAGCTGTAATCCCAGCCACTCTGGAGTCTGAAGCAGGGGGATTGGGAATTTGAAGCCAGGCTGGCCACACAGTGAATTTGATACCATTCTGGGCAACTTAGTGAGATCCTATTTCAAAATGAAAATTTAAAAGATGGGGTGGGAGGGGTAGGCTCAGTGGTAGAGCCTCGCCTAGCGTGCATCAAAGCCCCAGGCTCCATTCCCAGTACTGCAAAAATAATCTTAAAAATGAATAAAGTAGAATCACTCCTACTTGGATGATCTGGTGGCTTACATTTGATTTATTTCCACATACGCATAGGATTTACTTTTGGTATTTTACTAAGATTCCACATTACGTCTGTACTACATTTTTGGGAAGAAAGGAACACAGGAAGATGCACAGTGAAGTCTCCTTGCTCTGTGTGAGCATCTTCCGGGGCCGTGTATTTCTCAGCCTTGCCGAAGGGGCTGTTAGCATTCAGTGTGAGCTGACCAGCAGCAGCTGGTTCTGGGATAGGGAAGGGATTCTAAGAACAAAAGGTGGGGCTTCTCAGGTGGAATTCCTGGCCTTTCTTACAGCACACCTTTCCTTCCTCCCTTCCTCCCTTCCTCCCTTCCTCCCTTCCTCCCTTCCTCCCTTCCTCCCTTCCTCCCTTCCTCCCTTCCTCCCTTCCTCCCTTCCTCCCTT